TCCTCCCCAAGCACAGCCAGGCATTGCTGGGTACCAGCCACTCCTCCTCAAGCACAGCCAGGCATTGCTGGGTACCAGCCACTCCTCCCCAAGCACAGCCAGGCATTGCTGGGTACCAGCCACTCCTCCCTAAGCACAGCCAGGTATTGCTGGGTACCAGCCACTCCTCCCTAAGCACAGCCAGGTATAGCTGGGTACCAGCCACTCCTCCCCAAGCACAGCCAGGCATCGCTGGGTACCAGCCACTCCTCCCCAAGCACAGCCAGGCATCGCTGGGTACCAGCCACTCCTCCCCAAGCACAGCCAGGTATAGCTGGGTACCAGCCACTCCTCCCCAAGCACAGCCAGGCATTGCTGGGTACCAGCCACTCCTCCCTAAGCACAGCCAGACATCGCTGGGTACCAGCCATTTCTCCCCGGGCACAGTCAGGCATCCCTGGGGACCAGCCATTTCCCCGACGCAGGCACCAGCCAGGAATCACTGGACACCAGCCACTCCCCACCCTGGGCACAGCCAGGCCTACCTGGATATCAGACACACCTGCAACTAGGAAACGGCCACTCCCCCTGACCCAGGCACCAGCCAGTCACCCCTGAGCACCAGCCACTTCCCCCACCCTGGGCACAGCCAGGCATCTCTGGGCACCCGGCACCACTCCACCCCAAACAGAGTTATCAGCCATTCTTCCACCCTACACACAGCCAGGCAAACCCTGGGCATCAGACGCTCCCCCACATACGGCACAGCATGGTATACCTGAGTACCAACACACAACACAGACAAACATCCCTCAGGCCACCCACTGCCCCACTCTGGGCAGCAACCACTCTTCCACCATAGGCACAGCCAGGCATCCCGGAGCGCCAAACATTCTCCCACTCCATTCCTGGGCATCAGCCACTTCCCCAAATGAGGCAAAGCCAGACATACCTGGGCACCACTGCCCCACAAGCCAGGGTCCCTGGGCACCAATCACTGCTTCAGACCAGACACAGCCAGGCAACCCTGGGCAGCAGCCACTCCCCCATGCTGGATACATCCAGGCAACCCTGGGTGGCAACCACTCTCCAATGGTGGGCATAGCCAGGCATCCTCACTTACCAGCCACACCCTGGACACACCTAAGCATCCCTGGGCACCAGCCACTCACCAACCTTGGGGACAGCCAGGCATTTCCGGGGCACCATCCAATCCCTACCCCCAGACACAGCCAGGCATCCCTGGGAACAAGTATTCCCCCATGCTAGGCATAGTTAGGAATCTTCGGGCATCAGACACATCCCAGGCACAGCGACGCATCTCCGAGCATAAGCCATTCCCTCGGCCCAGACACAGCTAGGCATCTCTGGGCACCAGCCATTCCCCCATTTTGGGCACCACTAGGCATCTCTGGGCACGAGCCACTCTCCCTACTGAGGCACAGCCAGCCACCCCTAGGCATCAGCCACTCCCCTATTCCAGGCACAGCCAGGCATCGTTGGGCACCAGTCATTGCTCTGCACCAGGCACAAGCAGGCTGTACCAAGTACCAACTGCTCTTCTGCCCCTGGGACAGCCAAGTAATTGGAGTACCAGTCACAGACATCCCTCCACCCCGCTCACCACCCTCCCAGATGGACACACACATACCAGGGCCTCCTCGCTGTACACACACAACAGCACCAGCCAAAGGACCCACCTTGAGAGATCCGCCAGGTGCTGGGACCCAAGGGAGGTTGCTTTGGCCTCTTTTATTTTTGTGCTGCAGGGATCACACAATACCACACACACTACTCCCTTCTGCCTCTCTGTCACTCTCACCCACAAA